AGGCTTGCTTTGGGCTGACTCCATGACCTGAGGCCTGTTCTATTTCTGTCCAGCTACCCAGAGGTAGTTCTTCAGTACTGGCCACTCTCCTGGCTCTGCTTTTCCCTTGGCTTCTTTGTACCCCAAGCATGGGCTGTAGGTCTGATGCTACCTCCTGTCATTTTCTCCTCTCTCTGCTGCCCAGGTCTCAGCCTCTGCAGGTTTCATCCCCACCTGACACCCATGTTCATGCTTCAGGATACTTTTACTCAGGCCCTGACTCCAGAGGCATTTGGACACAGAAAAGCAGCTGCCATGGAAGTAGTTGGTGGGCAAAGGCGCTAACCTCCATGATGACCTGAGTTCAGTTCCTGGGGCTTACCTGGTAGAAGGAGAGAACTGACTCCTCTGACCTCCACAGGCGTGCTGTGGCACGTGTATACCCACTCACACACACAAATAAATACGTAATTTTAAAAACTTAAAAAGGGCCTGGAGAGACGGCTCAGCTGTTAAGAACACTGGCTGTTCTTGCAGAGGACCCAGGTTCAATTCCCAGCACCCACATGGCATCTACGAACTATCCTTAACTTCAGTTCCAGGGGAATCTGATGCCCTCTTCTGACCTCCACGGCATTGCACAACAGGTGCACTCACATACATGCAGGCAGTACACTCACAAAATAAAAATGATAAATAATATATATTTTTTTTAAAAAGTAAAAGAGAAAAGCATTTGTCCAGTGAGTCATGGGTTTTTGGTGGCCAAGGCCTACATGCCTTGTGCTTCCTCGGTGTTCGGTCATTACCAGACTGGATAGGTGGTTTGTCAAAATGCCAGTTGCCACAGAAAGATTGTACACTGGAGGCAGGTGTCCATACTGGTGTTGGAGGATTCTCTGGGCCTTGCTCTAGATATGGTGGGCAGCAGTAGATGTCTGTTAATGGAGCCTGGTTTCCCCTGCCTGTCCTGCTCCACTGTGAAAGGCCAAATTCACCCCATTGGAGCTGATGACCAAGGTGGGGGTGATGGCACATCACATGCTATGATGCCATAGACATTTCTGAAGTTTGTTCTTACAGCACAGCACACAGTAGCTCCAAAGGCATAGCTAACAACACTTGTGGTTGGGCTCAGGTACATCCTTGCCCTGGCCATGAGGTTAAGCAGATCCTAGTACATTCTGTCCTTGTCCTTTGTCCAAGAAGTTGGATGATATGGGTCATTAAGTCTCCTAGGCCCTTGCTTTTTTTCCTGGAGAAAGGAACGGATGCTATGCAGGAGGCATAGTCTGTGAACCCACCCCACCATCCAAGCACATCCTGTGGGTGGACTGTGGTACTGTTTATTTCACAACAGGAGGCTAAGGCTTCAGACCATGGCCAGAACAGAAGGGCAGAGGAAGGGCAGCAAGAGAATGTGTGCATCACTCTGTTCTGTGTCTACTGGGGTTGGACTGCTAGTTTCTCAAAGCAAGAGAGTGGCTGCCATCTGGGGACTCTATCTCTGGCAGCACAGCTATCCCCTCCACACAGCCTCCAGCATTCCCCTGTTGCAGCCTTTAAAAAAGTTACATTTATAGCCGGGCACAGTGGCGTACGCCTCTAGTCCCAGCACTTAGGAGGCAGAGGCAGGTGGATCTCTGTGAGTTCAGGGTCAGCCTGGTTTACATAGTGAGTTCCAGGACAGCTAGAGCTACAGGGAGACCCTGTCTCAAAAAAAAAAAAATTATGTTTATGTGTGTGCACACACATGCTCATGTGCCATAGTGTGCATGTGGAGGTCAGAGAACAACTAATGGGTGTTGATTCTCCTCCTTCACCTGTGGGTCCCAGGGATTGAACTAGTTGTGGCAGTATTTACTAGAGGAGAGAAATGGGAGTGGGGGCAGTTAGGGTTGGACCACCTCAGCACAAAATCCTTGAGTTGTCATTTTCTGTTTTTTTAGGGCCAGTGGACTAACAAAATTTGAAAATAAGACCCAAATTCCATATTTGTGGGTTTTTAATATTTTTATTATTTTATTTTGATTTATTTATTTATTTATTATTGTCTTTTTGAGACAGGGTCTCCCTGTAGCCCCAGCTGTCCTGGAACTCACTGTGTAGACCAGGCTGGCCTCGAACTCACAAAGATTCGCCTGTCTCTGCCTCCCAAGTGCTGGGATTAAAGGCATGCACTACCACGCCCAGCCTATTTTTTATTTTATGTATATAAGTGTTTGGGTTTTTTTGTTTGTTTGGTCTTTTTGAGACAGGGTCTCACTGTAGTCCCAGCTGGCCTGGAATTCACTATGTAGACCAGGTTGGCCTTGAACTCACAGAGATCCATCTAGCTCTGCCCCCCAAGTGCTGGGATTAAAGGCGCCACCACATCTGGCTGTATATGAGTGTTTTGTCTGAATGTGTGTAAATGCAACCATGTCGTGCATTGCCTGTAGAGGCCAGAAAAGGGTGTTGGATCCCCTGGAATTGGAGTTATAGACAGCTGTTTTCCACCATGTGGGTGCTGGGAACCAAACCCAGGTCCTCTTAACTGCTGAACCATCTCTAGCCCCCATTTATATACATACACACACACACACACATTTTTTTTGGTCTTTTTGAGACAGGGTCTCCCTGTGGCTCCAGCTGTCCTGGAACTCATTACATAAGACCAGGCTGGCCTTGAACTCACAGAGATCCACCGGCTTCTGCCTCCTGAATGCTGGGATTAAAGGCGTGCGCCACCACATCCGGCTCATTTTTATATTTTCAAAGTTATTTCACCTTGAAGATTAAAACTTTTTGTGAGCTGGGTGTGGTGGCACATGCCTTTAATCCCAGCACTAGGGAGGCAGAGGCAGGTGGATCTCTGAGTTTAAAGCCAGCTGGTTTCAAAAAGACCAAAAAAAAAAAAAAAACCCAAAACTTTTTTTGTGAGCCATGGAAATGGCTCAGTGTGGGTAAATGTGTTTGCTGTGCAAGGTTGGAGACCCAAGTTTGTTTTCCAGAACCCACATGGCAAAAGAAGAGAATTGAGCCGGGCACGCCTTTAATCCCAGCACTTGGGCGGCAGAGACAGGCAAATCTTTGTGAGTTCGAGGCCAGCCTGGTCTACATAGCAAGTTCCAGGACAGCTGGGGCTACAGGGAGACCCTGTCTCAAAAAAGACCGAAAAAAAAAAAAAGGAGAGAACAACTCCACAGAGTTGTTCTTTGACCTCCTGTATTAGTCACTTTTCTGTTGCTGTGATAGAAACACTGACCCAAGCAATTTATAAAAGGAAGAGTTTATTTGAGCTTATGGTTCCACGGGAATTACAGTCCATCATGGCAGGGAGACATGGTGGCTGGAGGTGCTGGAGCAGCAGAAGCTAATCTCTCACATCATCACGAAGGCACAGGAAACAGAAGAGCAACAGGAGATCTGGCAAGGCTTAAGAACTCTCTAAGCCCACCCACAGTGACATGCTTCCTCCAGGATAGCCACACCTTCTAAACCCTCACAAAACAGCGCCATCATCTGGGGACAAAATGTCCAAACACTTGGAGTCTGTGGAGGACATTCTCATTCAAACCACCACACCTCCACACGTTTTATGGCATGTGTGCCCACAGACACACATCATGTACCCGAAATAATTATTTTTAAAGGCTTGTATGTGTACACGTGTGTGTATGCATGTGGTATGTGTTTACATGTGTGTGGTATATAGTACATTTATGGGGGATATACGTGTATGTGTGTAATCTGCATGCATATGTGTGCATAGGTACTCCAATCCACATTTTGAGGTCAGAGGAAGATGTTGGGTGTCCTGCTCTATCACTTCTCCCCCTTAGTCCCTTGAGACAGGATCTCTCCCTGAACCTGAAGCTTACCATTTCAGCTAGGCTGGCTGCCCAGAACATGTAGCCATTCCCAGCTTTTTTTTTTCCAATTATTTTTATTTTATGTGTATGAGTGTATTACCTGCATATATGTGAGTGCACCCTTGTGCAATGCCGTGGAGGTCAGAAGAGGGCTTCGGATTCCCCTGGAACTGGAGTTAAGGACGGTTCATAGCCGCCATGTGTGTGCTGGGAATTGAACCCAGGTCCTTTGCAAGAGCAGTCAGTGCTCTGCTGAGCCATCTCTCCAGCCCCCATTCCCAGCTTTTATGTGGATGCTATGAATTGGAACTTAGGTCCTCATGCTTGAACAATAAGCACGCTAAGCAACTAAACCATCTCCCCCTTCCCCTTTTTTCTTTTTGTTTTTTGGTATTTTGAAATAAGGTCTTATGTAGCCTGCCCAGTATGGCCTCAAACTTGATATGTGGCCAAAGATGATCTTAAAGACCTAACCCTTCTTCTCCATCTCCAAGTGCTGCATTATAGATCTCTGCCACCATGCTAGTTGATTAAAACTCTTATGGTCATTAAATTTTTTAGTTTTTTGTTTCTTTTGTTTTGGGTCTTTCTGAGACAGGGTCTCCCTGGAGCCATAGCTGGCCTGGATTCACTATGGAGATTAGGCTGGCCTCAAACTCACAGAAATCCACTTGCTTTTGCCTCCCCAATGCTGAGATTAAAGGCTACGATAATTAAATTTTTAATGGGTAAAGTGTTTGCCTTGCAAGTGTCAAGACCTGAGTTCAGAATTTGCAGAACCCATATAAGAGCTGGCTATGGCAGCACAAGTCTAATCCCAGTGCTGCTTTGGCAAAATGGGAGGCAGAGACAGGAGACTTCTTGGAAGCTCATGGGTCCGCTGGCCTGGCAGAGCAGCAAACAAGAAATAATGTGTCAAAAAAGTGAAAAGTGAAGAGCCGAGATTCTTCCGACTGTTTGTGTGTGTCCACACTCCTTCACATGAGAGGCCGCACATACACAATGTAAAAAAGAACACGTCCACACTCCTTCACATGCAGAAGCCGCACACACAATGTAAAAAAGAACACGTCCACACTCCTTCACATGAGAGGCCGCACATACACAATGTAAAAAAGAACATTAAGTGTTCAAAATCAGTAACGTTCTCTTCTCTTAACATTTTAGCCTCTGCTTCCACACTCTGCTGGAGATAGGCACGTTGTGGGCTACATTCATGCAGACCCGGACTGCTGCCTCCTTCCTCAGCTGTGACTCTGTATCTGAGCAGTTGTCGTGGTCCATGCTGTCCATCCTTGAGAAAAGCTTGCAAGTGGTCTCAGCATGTCATCTTCCACAAAATCCCAAGCACTGGAGGAGTCTGTGCCTGGCTGCGAAGAGGAGCTAAAAGGAAAACCGCTCCTCACCTGGGGCTCTCTTTTCAGTCACCGAAGCGAGAAGATTGTCTTTACCAAAGGTGAGAGCAGCTCGGAGGAGAGCCTGCTCACTGTCACCATCACGGAGACTACCGTCATTGAGTCGGACCTGGGTGTGTGGAGTTCAAGGGCACTCATCTACCTCACGCTGTGGTTCTTCTTCAGCTTCTGCACACTCTTCCTCAACAAGTATATCCTGTCCCTGTTGGAGGGCGAGCCCAGCATGCTAGGTAACACCACCTTGCCTGCCATGTGCACCTACTGGCCCCAGTGCACAGTTGCCAGAGGCTACCAGGAGGGTGGGAAAGGGATAAAGGTAATTAGCCAGATGTGCTTTTGGGCATCTGCTTATGATGAGAAGGGAAATTACTTGTTCTGAGCTTGGCCACATGCCTCCCTCCACAGGTGCCGTGCAGATGCTGTCAACCACGTTAATTGGATGTGTTAAGATATTTGTTCCTTGCTGTTTATATCAGCACAAAGCCCGGCTCTCCTATCCACCCAATTTCATCATGACTATGCTCTTTGTGGGCCTCATGAGGTAAATGTATTGACTGTCTAGTTGTGTTTTTATATATAAAATACCAATCTGGTTACTGTGTGGGAACCCTGTTGGTGGCTGTGGTAATTAGTGCTGCTGGGCATGTGTTCAGGGCACAGAGTGCACTGTCTCAGATGTGAGACAGTAAGTAGATTTGGTTTTGTGGCCCTTAATGCCACATGCATTCACTCGGATTCTTTACAAGGTAGCCATAAAAGGTATTCAGTAGCAGTTGGAAGGTGATGTATTTGGCACCCTTGGGTGTAATGGAGTCACTCTTTCCTGATGATCCAACCTTGTGGTGGGAGGAGGGGCCAGATGTACCCACTGGTCATGACTGACCACTTGGAGCCTCTGGCCAGTAAGCAGAAAGGTCCCCTCTCATGGTGCTCTTTGCTTGTTTTGAGGTTTGCAACAGTGGTTTTGGGGCTGGTCAGCTTGAAGAATGTGGCCGTTTCCTTTGCTGAGACGGTGAAGAGCTCGGCTCCCATTTTCACTGTGATCATGTCTCGGATGATTCTGGGGGAGTACACAGGTAGGGACTCTCCTGGTCCTGACCTTTTGCCTTGACTAGACCTCATAATTCTCTTCCTCTACCTGCCCGCCCTGTGCTGGGGTGTGTTCAGCTCCTCAGAGATTCCCTTCCCTCCTGAGCTTTTCTTGGCAGTTACACGTGGCTCGTGCAGTTCCTTGAGCACATGCTTCTTCAGCCCACTATGCAGGGGTTTTTCTCATGGAAACATGAGAGAGTCAGAGAAGGACTGTGCCTCATGGGTCCCAGCTAGGTCAGGAGATGGGTGGGAACCGGGAAATGAATATCAGGCATATCTCTCCAGAGGCTGATCTTTGATCCAGAGATGATATGGCAGGGGCCATATTCGAGGGCAGGGGCTCTCTCTTCAGTGGACAGTCAGGTGGCCTCCCCAGGCTGTTTATGAGTCTTTAGACAACTGCTTCTCTATCCTCCCCAAGGCTTAGGCAGATCAGATTTATTTTAGCAATGTACGATTATTTCTTGTGGCATGTCAGACTCACACACTTATAAACCTTTTAGAAATCAGAATATTCAAGATCATTATGTGAAAACAAAATGCAGAAAAACATATAAGAAAGATACAGCATAGTTACAGAGTGCTTGCCACACGTACACACAAAGACATTACCTTGAAATAAAGGCAGGTGTCCACCTAAAGGGGCAAAAGGGAGAAGACCAGGATGGCCACAAGACTTCTCTCACATGTGCCTTTGGAATTACACACATCTTAGGTCTTTGTAAACCAGAACCAGGGCTGGGGATGTAGAGTACTTGCCTAGCAGGCATGAAGGCTTTGATTCCCCAGTACTGCGTATAGGCGTGGCAGCTCACTTGCACTGAATCATAGCACTTGAGAGGTGGAGGTAGAAGGATCATGAGTTTAAGGTCATCTTTGGCTACTTAGTGAGTTTGAGGCCAACCTAAGATACATGAGACCTTATCTCAAAAAACAAACAACAAGCCAAGCATGATGGCTCATGCCTTTAATCCCAGCACCCGGGAGGCAGAGGCAGGTGGATCTCTGAGTTCAAGGCCAGCCTCATCTACATAGTGAGTTCCAGGACAGCTGGGGCTACAGGGAGACCCTGCTTCAAAAAGACCAAAAAAACAAATAAAATAAAATAAAATATAAATAAATAAGGGGCTGGAGAAGATGGCTCAGCAGTTAAGAGCCCTGACTGCTCTTGCAGAGGACCCAGGTTTGATTCCCAGCACCCACATGGTGGCTAACAACCATCTGTAACTCCAGTTCCAGGGAGATCCATCACCTTCTTCTGACCTCTGCGGGCATTGCACGACACGGATGCACTTACACACATGCAGGCAATACACTCATACACATAAAATATAATATTTAAAAATAAATAAATAAATTGAAATAAAATTGAAGAGGTGCCAAAGAGTACCTGACACCATCTCCAAAATAAATGTGGGGGGATGTGGTGGTTCTCATTGCACTAAACAGATATTTTTTTAATTTAAGATTTTTTGTGTGTACATGTGTGTTTTCCTGAATGTATGCCACAGGTGTGTGGGTGCACACAGAGGCCAAATAATGGTGTCAGATCTCTTGGAGCTGGAGCTGCAGGGAGTTGTGAGCCACCCAGCATGGGTACTAGGAACTGAACACAGGTCCTCTGGAAGAGCAGGAAGCCCTCTTAACTGCTCAGACATCTCTCCACATCTCTCCAGCCCCTTGAATAGAAATTTTAAACCAGTTGCATAAAGGGTTGTTTATTATTAAAAAAAAAAATAGGAACCAACAATGTCACCCAAGTTTACCAGCCTGGGTTCTCAGTCCCTAGGACCCACATGGTGGAAGGAGAGAACTGACTCCCACAGGTTGCCTTCTGATCTCCACATGGGCAATGTCCTGTGTATATCCACATGTACACACACACACACAATAATTAAAAGTTTTAAAATCCCATCAGTATAACTGTACCAATCCAGGTTTTATCCTTGACTTTTTTTTTTATTATTATTATTATTTGGAGGGTGTTTGAGGTTGCTTTTGTTTTTTTTTTTTTTTTTAGACAGGGTCTCCTTGTAGCCACATCTGGCCTGGAATTCACTATATAGAGCAGGCTGGGACAGAGATCTGCCTCCCTAGTGCTGGGATTAAAAGCATGGGCCACCACACCCAGCCTTTTTTTTTTTTTGTCTTTTTGAGTCAGAGTCTCCCTGTAGCCCCAGCTGGTCTGGAACTTGTTATGTAGACCAGGCTGGCTTTGAACTCACAGAGATCCACCCTTGTCTGCCTCCTGAGTGCTGGGATTAAAGGCATGTGCCAGCTCTAGTTGGGCGTGGTGGCACACACCTTTAAAAGGGGGGGGCGGTGCGCTGGAGAGATGGCAAAGTGGTTAAGAGCACTGACTGCTCTTGCAGAGGACCCGGGTTCGATTCCCAGTACCCACATGGCGGCTATGACCCATCCTTAACTCCAGTTCCAGGGGAATCCGAAGCCCTCTTTGACCTCTGTGGCATTGCACCACATGGATGCACTCACATACATGCAGACAATACACTCATACACATAAAATAAAAATAATAAATGTTGAAAAATAAAAAATTTTTAAAGGAGTCACTATTAATTAACTTTTTAAAAAGATCCAAACATTCACCATTTTCTTTGTAGGCATGTGAGTTCAAGGCCAGCCTGGTCTACATAGTGAGTTCCAGGACAGCTGGGGCTACAGGGAGACCCTATCTCAAAAAGACCAAAAAAAAAAGATCGGCTCTTCCTCACCCAGCAGTAATCAGCTGCCAATAATTCTTTGACTAAGACTGGGGCCTGCTGTCTGTTTCCACAGTTCTGTGCTGGGTTTTTTGTCTGCTTGAGTTTGCATGAGTCTTGTACATGCTGACACCACTGCTGTAGGTTCATATGAGGAGGATCCCAGGAGTCTGTAGGACTCTTTCCCTATAGTCATGTACCTCCTCCATAGCTCTTAAAATCTTTCTGTCCCCTCTTCCACAGTGGTACCTGAGCTCTTAGGTGGGTGAATTTTAATGAGTCCTGTCCAGGGACCCACACTCTGTAGACTCTTATTCTCTATGTTTTGGCCATTTGTGACCTTTTTTTTGTGTTCTTGGCCCTCTGTTGATGAGTGAGCTTCATTGATGAGAAGTGAAAGATGTATCAGTGTCTCTTCATCCTTTGTTCTATGTTCTGTGAGCTTTAGGTGTAGAAGTTGTATTGTAGATGTGCCACTTAGGCTTGAGCAATTCACAGACAATCTCTTTATATGATGAGTTGTGGAACTCTTATCTTTTTCTGTTGAAAAAAATAAGCTTTTTTGATGGGTGGTGACCAGGATACTTTTCTGTAAATTTAAGGATCCGCACTTTGCACATAGTAAGAAGTTACATTTATCTAGAGATGTGGCAGCCTTGGGGTTTTCTCTAAGATCTATGACCTCTCTAGCTATGTATATTTGGCTAGGTTTACAGTACCACACATGAGTTTCCTCCCATTAAGTGGGCTTTAAGTCCAATTAGGTAGCTGTTGATTACCCCCCAGATAAAAGTGCCACTACTGCACCAATGTTATTTGCTGTGCTGGTCATTGATGTGGTTTTTAGGCCTTAAATCTGGAGTTGGACCATAGATTGATGTTCTCCCTTACTGGCTTGAAGAGTGCTCATAAAGCTATGAGGGCTAGGCTTCAGGAAAGGTGGCTTCCAGGCTGGTTCCAGCTCCATTGTTCCAAATCCTGTGTCCAAAGCCTGACCTGTCTTCAGCAATAGGGTCTTACCTTCAAGTTCTGGGAGGCAATCAAGGGCTGTGGCAATAGCCTGTGTAATTGGGAGAGTCTCTTGCACTACCCTGGCCAACAACTCAAAGAAAGGTTTCTCCTGTCTGACATCATTTCTTGCTATGTAGCCTTCAGCTATATACCTGAACTATACACAAGATATTGTATGTGTAATTTTTTTATTTTTATTTTTTGGTGTTTTTTGAGACAGGGTCTCCCTGTAGTCCCAGCTGGCCTAGAACTCACTGTGTAGACCAGGCTGGCCTTGAACTCACAGAGATCCTCCTGCCTCTGCCTCCTGAGTGCTGAGATTAAAGGCATGTGCCACCACACCCGGCTGTATGTGTAATTTTTCAGTAGGTTTTTAGACTAATATGATTCCCTTTTTTTGTTTTTTTGCTTTTTTATTTATTTATTTATTTTTATTTTATGGGTATGTGCGTATTGCCTGCATTGTAGGTAAGTACACCCGTGTCATGCAATGTCTGCAGAGGTCAGAAGAGGCTGTTGGATCCCCTTGGAATGGAGTTTTAGACAGTTATTAACTGCCATGTGGGAGCTGGGATTCAAACCCGGGTCTTTTGCAAGAACAACCAGTGTTCTTAACTGCTGAGCCATCTCTCCAGCCCCGATTCCCTGTTTTTTTAATACAACCTAGGCATTATTTTTCTCTCCTCTCTCCCTGAATAACCCTTTCTTCCCCATTGAAAGTATCTCCTTTTCTCCCTTGATAATTCCTGTCTGCTATGGTCCCACTGCATTAGTTTTTTAAAACTTATTGTGTGTGTGTGTGTGTGCGTGCGTGTGTGCGTGCGTGCGCATGTGCGCGCAAGCATGTAATTGTGCACATGTAGACATCAGAGGACAACTTGGGGAGATGGTTCTCTTTTTCCTCCCTGTGGTCCTGGGATTGACCTTAGGTTGTCAAGCTTGGCAACAAGTGCCTTTACCCACTGGGCCGTCTCACTGGCCCTGACTTTTGAATTAAAGCAAAAATCCCATGTATTGTAAATGGGTAGGAATAGCCTCCGCCCTAGGAGGGGGCCTGCATCAGTCACCTGTTTTACTCTTGCTAGGGCTGCTGGTCAGTCTATCCCTTATCCCTGTCATGGGAGGGCTAGCACTGTGCACTGCTACCGAGATAAGCTTCAACGTCCTGGGGTTTTCGGCTGCATTATCCACCAACATCATGGATTGGTGAGTCACAAAGCATATGGGAACAGAGTGGAGGGGGTTGCTTAAGAAATTGTGCTGGTCTTCCTTCATCTCAGTCCACAGATGTTCAAATCCAAGCTGGCTCAGACCCAATCCTGTGACTCATAGCCAGGCTCCACTGTGTTGCCTTTTCTCAACTAGTACAACAGTAAATTCCAGATCAGATGTATTTTCTCCCAAACAAGCTGGAATTTGATGGTGCATGGTCCTGATTATTAATAAGCTAACTGGAGGGACATGGTTACACAGGCATAATAACTGTGATAATCAGTATACTATTAGGCTTATCATGGTGGCACACAGGCCTGTAATCCCAGCATTTGGGAGATGAAGCGGGAGGATTGCTGCGAGCTCAAGGCCAGCCAGGGTTACATAGTGAGGCCCTATTTTAAAACAAACAGCCACCACCTAAGGTTGTCCTCTGACCTCCACACATGCACCATGGCCTGCATGCGCTCACATTATCACACACACACAAAACGCACACACACACAAAACGCACACACACACAAAACTGTAGGTAGGGATATGGTTACACAGACCTGGTAATTAATATAATTATAGGCATATGGTTAGCTGACTAAATAGTAAAAGCTTAGCCCTGTATGCTTACATAGTCAAACTAAAACCAAGGAGGAGGCCAGAGCCATCTCCCAGCCATGCGGCAAGGTCCTGGGGAAATGCCAGGTTGGTGGTGCTAGTGTCCTGATCATGGAGTAAACTGAGCGACAGATGCTACATACCAATCCTGTTTCTTTTCTTTTTTTTCTTTAATGTCCAGGATATCCTTGAACTTGCAGTCCTCTTGCTTCAACCTCCAAAGTGTTGAGATGACTAATTATGGTACCTGACAGGTCATTGGTCCATGCCGTGTCACTGAAGTCCCCTCCAAAACACCAAGAAAGCCTTCCCAGAACTACTGATCACTTTTAGGTTTCTCCTTAAAAAAACCTTATTTTATGTGTATGTATGTGTGTATGCCTGAGTGTATGTATGTGCACCACATGTGTATGGTGCCTACAGAGGCCAAAAGAGGCTGTCAGATCCCTGGAACTGGAGTTACAGGTAGTTAGTTATGAGCTACCCAAGATGGGTGATAGGATCTAAACCTTAGTCCTCTTTTTTTTTTTAAATATTTTATTATGTGTGTATTGCCTGCATGTAGGTAAGTGCACCCGTGTTGTTCAATGCCTGAGGAAGACAGAAGAAGCTGTCGGATCCCCTGGAACTGGCGTTACAGACAGTTGTTAGCTGCCATGTGGGTGCTGGGATTCGAACCTGGGTCTTCTGCAAGAACAGTCAGTGTTTTTAACCGCTGTGCTCTCTCTCCAGCCCAACCTTGGTCCTCTTAAGAGCAGTACCCATTCTTAACTGTTGAGCCATTGCTCCAGCCCCATCCACATTTCTCCTGTGTTTTTTGAGAGAAATGGCTCTCACTAGTGTCCAAGAGTTTATCACCTCTCGATTGCTAACAGAAAACAGCTGGCCTTGCTGTTCTGACTTAAGCAGCTACATAAAAATAGGAACCACCCTTAGCCTGTCCTTCACTTGAATGATGCATTTCCTCCTCTGTGTCGCACTGCTTTTGTGTTTCTTAGGAACCCAAAAAGGTCACAGCACATAACCTGTTTGTACACTGTTTTGTTATGTGTTGTTTGAGGAGCTTTGTGACTAGATGTTCTCCACAGCCTGATTTTCATGACAGCCCCCTAAGTCCTGCACACACACTGAAGCCTCCTATTGAGTAGCCAATCTACGGGGAATATGAATCTTTACATAATTTCTGACTGCCCTGTGGGGTAAGTTCCTAAACCTCTGTAGGTGTTCTTGACACATGATACATGCTGTCCCGTTGCTTGACACAGCCTCCCTATGTAATGATCTGCCAGTGAGAACTGATGCTGCCTTGGCTTGCACTAAGTTAGGACCCTCTCTACTTTCAGAGTCTGGACAGCAGTCCTACAATGTCAACTTCTGGTCTCTGAGGTCATTTATAAAGCCAGCATTGTTTTAGTTTCCCACAGGCTATTGATGTGTCTTCCCTGTGTGTACCTGTCATAAATTCTGTGTTTTTACCAATGGGGTCTTCATGTGTATGGTCAGTTGTCTCAAATCATACACACATGAAAGTCCTCAAGTGTCTGGCCCCTGAGGCTGCAGATCTATGGGAACTTTATCCCAAGTGGTTCTTCTGGGATTTTGAGACAGGGGCTCACATAGCCCAGGCTACCTTTGAACTCACTATATAGCTGAACATGACCTTGAACTCCTAATTTTCCTGCCTTACTTCCCAACTGGGGTTTTTGAAGTATGCAGATCAGAGACATTATAGGTCTCTGACACCTGGGATGGCAAGTCATTTAGGCTTTGCATGCTCTATTTGGTTGTCTGGAAGGGCAACATGTGCAGTCCCACTTCTCTGATGATGCCTGGACACACCTGGTATGGGACTGGCCCAGGGCAGTTGCTCACCATTGCAGCCATCCTCATCAACAGTGAGAATGCAGAGCCTTCATCTACTTGGTGACCACACCAACTGGCTTAAATATATAACCTCTTCTCGGGGCTGGAGAGATGGCTCAGTGGTTAAGAGCACTGACTGCTCTTGCAGAGGACCCGGGCTGGATTCCCAGCATCCCCATGGAGGCTACGAACCGTCCTTAACTCCAGTTCCAGGGGAATCCAAAGCCCTTTTCTGACCTCCGATCTGTGGCATGACACTGGTGCGCTCACATACATGCAGGCAATACACTCATACACATAAAACAAAAAATAATAAAATACTTAAAAAAATATATAACCTCTTCTCTTTGTTCTAGTTTGCAGAATGTTTTTTCAAAAAAGCTGCTCAGCGGGGACAAATACAGGTTCTCGTAAGTATTCCCAGTGAGTGGAGCTCCGCTTTCGTAAGACCCGGGAGGACTTTTAACCATTTTGTAATTCTGAATGCCCCCTGGGAGCCTGAGCTCACTTGGTTTGGTGACTTTGACAGTTCTTTGTGGAAAATTTAGGGTCGGGGGAAACAACCTGTTTCCATTTTTCCCTCAGACCACCAAACAACCAGCTTGGTTCATAGTGGCCTGTTCACTTCTGAGGGCATTCTGGGCATTGTGGGAGGCAATAAGTTTCTAGATTGCTGGCTTATTAGAGTGCATGTGGAAGAGACCAGACCCAGACCCAGAAAAGGTTGAGCATCTTCTGTCCCTGCAGAGCTCCAGAGCTGCAATTCTACACTAGTGCTGCTGCCGTGGCCTTGCTGATTCCAGCCTGGACTTTCTTCATGGTAGGTTTCCAGTCAGGCACCCACTATACTGGGGCTGCTGCTTCCCTTGACAGTTCAGGAGAATGGTGAGTGACTGATTGCTAGTTTTGTATGAGAGTTTTTAGACTTGTTACTTTTTATTAGGAAAATGACATACTTAGTGTAAAATAGTCAACAGTCTATGCTTAGTGGATTTTAGTGGGTTTTTGGTTTTGGTTTTTTTGAGACAGGGTCTTGGTATATAGCTCTGGTTGCCCTAGAACTTGCTGTGTAGACCAGGCTAGCCTCAAATTCACTGAGATGTGCCACTTCTTCCTCCTGAGTGCTGGAGTTAAAGATGCCACCATACCTAGTTTTAGATACAAAACCAATGTGAGAGGGTCCCTGTCCTATTCCCCACCCCTGAATTGCCCATCCAGTGAGACTGGGTACAGATTACTTTTCTGATTTATGCCTGGAGTCCCACAGTTTACAGAAATGTGTCTGTGCAGACCTTCTTCCTCAACACGTGTAACTAGGAGACCTAATGTGATCATGCTGTGGATCATGTCTTTGCCCTGTCCCAGTTCCACAATTGGAAAAGGAATTTCTCACATCCACACCCTGTGCAGATGATGCCTGTGGGATATATACTTGGAACTGGAGTGGTTGATTGAAACATTTTACCTCCCACTAGGCAGTGCACAGGAGTTCTAGTTCTCCAAATCCTCACCATTTCTTTTTCAAACAGGATCTTATTCTGTAGTCCAGGCTGGCCTAGAACTCACTATATAGCCCAGGTTGGTATCAAAGTCTTGGAAATCCTCCTGCCTCAGTCTTCTAAATGCTGGAATTGCAGATCTCACCACTACCACTCCAACACTCCCATCTCCCACCCCATCTCCCCAACCTACTTGACTCTTCTCCAACACTCCAACATTTGTTTTCTGCTGGTTTTATTGTTGCTTTGAGACAACATCTCACTGTGTAGCCCTTTGCCCCAGCCTCCTGGGTGCTGGGGTCCCAGGTGTGTGCCATTTTGCCCTTGATCTGTTTGTGATACCAGCCATCCTAATGGGTATGAGCGATGTCACCATGGAATTTTTTTTTTTTTGCGCTTCCCTTACATGTATATAGTTTCTGAATTCTGTGCTTTCTTTTTCTTCTTTTTTCTTTTCTCTCTTTTTTTTTTTTGTCTTTTTGAGACAGGGTCTCCCTGTAGCTCCAGCTGGCCTAGAACTCACTATGTAGACTACTCTGGCTTCGAACTCACAGAGATCCGCCTGCCTCTCCCTCCGAAGTGCTGGGACTAAAGGAGTGCACCACCATGTCTAGCATCTGCGCTTTCTTAAATCTGTGTGTGTGTGTGTGTGTGTGTGTGTGTGTGTGTGTGTGTGTGCCCGAGCTCGCTCTCTCTTGAGTAGTCATATGTGTGCTATGTACACATGTGGAGGTCATAGGACAACTCTGGGTGTCAGTCCTAACCTTCCACCCTCTTTGAAGCAGGGTTACTTGTTTTTCACGGTGTATACCAGGCTAACTGACCTGTAAGCTTCAAATGATTCTCCTGTCTCTGCTTTCATTCTCACTGTAGGAGTACCTGTATTACAAAAGTGTACTACCACAACTAGCTTTATGTGGGCTCTGAGGATCTGAACTCAAGTCCTTATACTTGTGCAGCAAGTGCTTTACCTACCAAGCCATTTCCCCAGCCCTTCCCTTTTTTTCTTGTTTTTCTGAGACAGAGACTCATATAACCCAGGCCGCCTCAAACTTGGCATTTAGCTCAGGCTGGCATTGAATTCCTGATCATCTAATTTCTACCTCCTAAGTGCTAGGATTATAGACATGCACTACTGTCCCTAGACCTTGCTGAAAGGCTTGATTAATATGGTTCAGTTGCTGCCTGGCAAGGAGACATTCAGAGCTCTCCCCTTACTAGTGACATATGTTTTTCTCGGGAACACTGGTGACAGGGAGACACAGGCCAGGGGAGTGAACTTTTGCTCTGGTTGTAGGACATCCCTGTCATTGGGTGGAGTGGGAAGAGCTTCAGCTACAGCCAGGACATCGTGCTGCTACTGCTGACTGATGGTGCCCTGTTTCACCTTCAGAGTGTCACTGCATACGCCCTCATGGGAAAGATCTCCCCAGTGACTTTCAGGTAAGCAGAGCTTCTTCCCGGGAGATGTGGAAGACATCTAGGGTTCTCCTTCATAGTGACAGGTGGTTGCACACCATGAGTCTTTGGTCATTTTGCGCCAGTACAAAAATTACATTTAACATATTCACAACCCAACAGAGGAAATGTGGCAAAATGCCATTCATCAGATCTGCATGTTGGGAAAGTTGCTGTTGGTTACATTGTTTCTCTACCTTTCCATTTAAGATGTTTTTTAAAGTTTACATGTATGTGTGTATGTGAGTATATGGGTGTGTGTGTGTGTGTGTGTGTGCGTGCGTGTGTGCGTGTGTGTGTGCGTAAGCCCAAGGAGGCCAGAAAAAGCTGTCAGATTGCCTGTAACTGGAGTTACAGTTTACAACTGTCTACCATGGGTGCTGGAATGGAACTCAGTCGGACATCTGGAAGAACAGAAAGCATTCTTAACCACTGAGCCATCCTCCAGTTCCCATTTGAGATTTTTTTTCCTAAGGAAAAGTACACAGGCTGGGTGTGTGGGTTTGGTGATTTAAGGCCAGCCAGGGCTAGATACTGAGACCCTATCTAAAAACAGAAAAGTACACACCCCTCCTTTTTTTTTTCTTTTTCTTTTTCTTTTTTTTTTTTTTTTTTTTTTTTTTTTTTTTTTTTTTTTTTTTGAGACAATTGCTTTTGTGGTCCCGGCTCACTACATATACCAGGATGGCCAGGATCTCACAGAGATCTGCCTGCCTTTGCCTCCCTAGTTCTGTGATTAAAGGTGTATGTCACTATGCCTGACTATGATACATCTTTTAAGAAAGAAAAGAATGTTACAGGTGAACCCCTTAACGCTCCCAAACCCTCTGTTAAGTAGGCTCCCCGCCATTGTCCCCTTGAGGACCAAGGTCCCTGAGTGGTCCACATAACAGTGGTATGTTCTGTGACAGTTGCCAGGCACTACCAGCAGTGGGCTCTGGGTGTAAACCCAGAACGTCACTGTGGCCTGTTCTATTGCTGCAGCGTTGCCAGTACAGTGAAGCACGCCTTGTCTATCTGGCTCAGCATCATCGTTTTTGGCAACAAAATCACCAGCCTGTCTGCCATTGGCACCATCCTTGTGATAATGGGTGTCTTGCTCTACAACAAAGCCAGGCAGTACCAGCAGGAGACCATGCAGAGCCTGGCCACAGCCACCCATCGGGGCCCAGAGGACGACACAGAGCCACTGGTTCCCCTGGACTCCAGACAGCACCACTGAGCATAGGAGGCCTCTGGACATCGCTTAGCTCCTTTCTGATGCTGTGTCCCTTGGAGACCAGGCCTAGACTGCATTCTGCACTACATGCTGGGCTAAGGAGGCAGACTCTGCAGGCTTGGTCTTCTGCTCCTCACTGGAAGTCAGATGTGGGAATCAGGGATCAGTTTCTGCCTGACAGAACCCTGCAGGAAGGAGTGGATGGCCTGTTGCTCCCCTGGCCCACCGTCCAGGCTGCAGCTGGGCCAACAGCTCTGTGGAGCCCACTGTGGATAAATGCAGGCTCCAGTGCAATGTGAGCTGTTCTCTGCCTGGTGCCAGCTAGGAGACCACAGGTATTGAAGCCACCTGGTCTCTGGTCATCCATGGAGACTAACCACAGTGGCCATGCTGCTGTGTTGAAACAGAAGTCCCAGGTGCCAGTGCCCCCTTTATGGACCCCCCAACCACCCTCAGAAACCAGAATGGTTTACAGGTGTGGAAACAAGTCTCCTGCCCCTGAGGGAGGGTGCTTGTGTGAAGGAGAGGATTCCCCTGGCTTGTGTTGCACTGAGCCGCCCTTCCTTCAGGGTGCTGTTCCATGTGATGCTAAGAATGTGATTTCCACACCCTAGAGGGTGATTGCGGACAACTGGCAAAGGTGCCCTGGAATGCTTTTCCGTCTTGGGTCTGGATGAATGTGAGGCAGGCTGTTCTGAATGGCAAGATTTCCTTGGGGATGGATGACTGGGGAGGTCTGGCAGAGCATGTTTGCAGTTTATGCTGCATTTAAAGTGACACTGCTTTGTAGCAGAGCAGGCACCCGTACAGGTTTCTGGAGTGTCTGCATGCAAGGTAGAACACAGTCTACATCCACAGCTGACTCCCCAGGGACCATTTGTGACAGCACCTGGACCATCAAGTGCCCAGAGTCTGTCCTTCCATGCTAGGGTCCAGAGCGAGAGAGCCTGAGCAGTGGAGGAGCACAGCGGGGGCTTGGGTACAAGGGGCTGAGGCTCTCTACCTTGTTCCTAATTTTGTGGGTTCCGATGTGGGTACAATCCCTGTCCAGGCAGTTTTCAAGACCCTTTGTGATGGCAGCAGGGGCACTACCTGCCCCAAATCTCCCTTCCCCTCCCTGCTCTTTAGTGCCCATGGTGGTTCACTGGTTTCCCATTTGGCTTCTTGCCTGGGGATATGAAAATAGCCCCTTCAGGAGTAGGTTTAGGTAAAAAGAGCAATAATTATGTCTTAAGTTCTACCGACTTGAAAAAAATCTGCCATGGTGATGGATCTTCACCACCACTGTGAAGATGTTTTCTTATGTGGCACTGGCAAAGGTGCCCTGGAATGCTTTTCCTTCCTCTTCGCTTTCTCCAAAACTAAAGGCCAGTGGAGGCCAGGTGGTAGATGTGGTATTCATCTGTGCAGTGGACCTGTCCACTGAGTAACATGGTGGTGGGGGGCGGCGAGCTGCTGACCCAGGGAGAATGGCACATGCCAGCCCGCATTGGTTGCAGGAGTCTTCTCCCAGACCTTGTCTGAGTGTGCTCGGAGCGCCAGGTGCCTGGTTTCTGCCTATTGTTTGGAATTTCTGGCTCTGGGTCTCTTGTGGAATTAGGAAGTGGCCCTTCATGATTAGCTCAGCCCCGCCTGCCTCACCAGTCTCTCAGCCTGTTTTGATTTTCTAATTTTGGGGACCAGAAACAGAAACAAATATTTTCCTAAATAATAGCAAGTTAAGCAATTTCTTGTAAAGCTGCTTTTGAGACCTGTTCTCATCCTAGGCAGAAATGTCTTGGAACTTGTGCTGGGGCCAGCACACAACCCCAGCCAGCTTAGCATTCCTTCTACATAGTTGCTACCCACAACCGCTTCACCCAGCATTCCCGGGACAGCCCACATCCAGAGTCCTAGAATGGCCCTGCCTGGCCATTTGTTAAGATCATACAATCACAATGTTGTTTTTTTTATTAACTTTGTCCAGTACTTTTACAGAATATTCTGTTCTTAATGACACTGAAGTGCATGCAGAATTATTGACACCAGGTGTCATTACTCCTCTTGGGTTAATTCTTCCTTCGTCTATGTTGTCTGTGCTGTTGTATACAAACAAGAACACTGGACAGACCTTTTGAGCCAGCTGTACTTACTTACTGTACCCATAGTCAGAGATACACAACTTCCTCATTTCAAAAACACTTTCAGGGGCTGGAAAGATGGCTCAGTGGTTAAGATCTCATACTGCTCTTGCAGAGGACCCAACTTTGATTGCCAGCATCCATGTCTAGTGGCTCACAACTGCCTGGAACTCCAACTCCAGGAATTCTAATGCTTCTGGCCTCCATGGGCACCTATACTCACATGCACATACCCACGTACAGACACACATACATATATATATAATTTAAAAAACTTTACATAATTTAATCTTAAAAAATAAAACCCTTCCATAGGTTTGGGCTTTACCTTAGTGGTAAAGCACTGGCCTGGCATGTGTGAGGTCCTTGGGTTGATCACCAGAAAACAAAGAAGCAAACAAAGCAAGCAAGAAATATTTCCACTGCTGAAAAGCATTAAAAACTATTTTGTTTTTGAGGTGGGCATAATGGTACTCACTATAATCCCAGCACTATGGAAGCATTAAGAGGATCTTTGTGAGTTTGGAGCCAGCCTAGCCTACATAATAAGACCTTGCCTTAAAAAGCTGTTTTTTTTTTAATCTGATCATCATTTTCTGCATATCAGCATTATAGTAATTTGCCTCCCTGGAAAGTTGCAAGTATTCTTGCATAATCCAATATATGCTTTGGGGGGTTAGAGAGATGGCTCATCGGTTAAGAGCACTGGCTGTTCTGCAAGAAGACCAAGGTTCGAATCCCAGCACCCACATGGCAGCTAACAACCATCTATAACTCCAGTTCCAGGGGATCTGACACCTGTCCTCCGCGGGCATTGCAGGACACAGGTGCACTTACATGCAGGCAGTACACTCATAACACATAAAAATAAAACATTTTTGAGAAAAAATAAACATGATGAATCAGGCAATTAAAAAGAAAAACGCTGCAGCTGGCATGGTGGCACACACCTTTAATCCCATCACTTGGAAGACAGGCAAGTGGATCTCTGAGATTGAGGCCAGCCAGGTCTACACAGTGAGCTCCAAGTAAAGCTCTAGTTTGTAATGTGCCTTTAAAACACATCACAGAACCAGTGGCTTAGCTTCCTGCTCTCTGGATGGTCACTTCACTCTGTGTAGACAGCAGGTGCTCAGCACAGCTTTTCACATCTATCTAAGATTTTCTCAGGCCTGAAATAATTAGTTTCCTAACTTTAGAAAGGGTAAACAAAGATATCATTACAGATCAAAATCCACATTGGTTCTTGAGACAGGCTCCCTCCATAGCCCACACTGGCCTTATGACTCTCCTACTTCAGCCTTCTGAGCACTGAGATTACAGCTATGTGTTACCATGCCTGGCTTCTACTTCAGTTCTCTTCCCTGTTAGCAACATTCAGCTAAGGGTTTATTTTTTCAAAAGACACATATGCAACCTACGTGTGGCCTCTTCATTTTCCTCCTCTTCTCCCTTCCCCTTCCCCCTCTGCCTCCCCCTCCCATCCTCTTTTTTTGGTTCCTGGGATAGGGCTTCATGAATACTGGCAAGCATTCTATCACTGAGTTAGACCTCCGGCCCATTTTCTTAGTTTAGAAATGTTTTGGTTCTCCTGGGGAATTGGATTTATCTGTCTTGGATAAGCATCTAAGAACAGATTCTCAATGTCATGTTGACTGAAGATGGGTGTATCCACCACAGCTCAGAATGCAGGAAACTTCAACTTTGTTGTCTCAAGTATTTCTTCTGGTTTTCCTGAGTTTGGTGGCTTTAGTGTGAAAGTGGTCCAGTTGACAACTTTTTGTGTTTACTTTCAGTTTCCATTTCTGAGATTCAAACTACAATCCTTTCATTTGTAATTTCTATACTATTTCCAGATAGATGTGAGTCTACATCTGCTCAAGGTTGCAGGCACCACTTTTGAAAATGCCACAATTAGGGTGAGATTTTCACATGGAAAAACTTGATACTATATTGGTAACTGTCTACAGCAAAGCCAAATCATGTTTGCATTATACCAAGCAAGACTAGTGATCTAAAAATATATAAAATGTATCATGTTTTGTATGTCATCCATTCCAGTATTGCAGAAACTAGATTCATGTCTCCTAGAAGAGTTCTCTTAAATAATTTAGTGAGTCTTCTGGTAATAAATTGTTATTGTGTAATTTACCCTGTGGATGCCTCCTGATTCATTTTATCCAAGGTGCCAATGGTTCTTGTTCTGAAAAAAAGTAAAATAAATGTGAAATACCTAATTTGTTTTCTTTGTGTAATTCTTGCATTTATTCTAGTGAAATGATCAAAGCTGGTTTCTTACTGCCTCCACCTGTTTCCTAGATCACTGACAACTTGAAAGGAAACATCATTTCATTCCAGCCCCTCACCTTTTCCTCCACTAGTATATTTCTTGTTCTATTCTGCATCTTCCCATTTCAGGCCATAACTATAGACAGTTCTTTGCATCCATAGTCTCTGCCAAAAGCTGAAATTCTCATTTCAGCTGTTTTTTTCCAGAGGGTCATGGGCTTTCAGTGGAAACTTAGGCTCCTTCAAGACTTTCCCCAGTGGGGTTGAGTAAGCAGTTTTCAGAACTACTTCCATGGTGCTAGCTTTCAAACCACACTGTGAAAGCACCACCTACCACCTGCCCTGTTCCTGTGTCATGACAAAGTTACAACAATATGAAGATCTCAGTTGGCTTTGTTTGTGATTCTACAGTCTGAATGACTGGAACAGAACCCCTTTAATCCCAACACTTTGTCAGGAGGGGGGCAAAGGCAGGCGGATCTCTACTGTAACAGGTTCAAATCATGAGTCACCACACGGGAAATTTAAAAAGCAAGGTAAAAATTTTATTACGGCCAGGCTGTCCCTGGACTCCTACTTAAGAAAGCAGGCCGAAAGGGAGTTTGCAAGGACCTTTTATACAGATTTAGATATTTCACAAGAATGGGACTACAAGGGGCTAATCACCATGGTTCAAACTCAAGCACATATTTGCATAAGTCAAAATTATTATCCAACTGCCAGAGCAAGCAAGCATGGACAGAAGCAGAGGCATTAGGCAATAGCTTATCTTAGCCTGGCTCGGTCAATTCTAGGAACCCATGGTCCCTGCAAGGTGTAGGTAGTTTCAGGGAAGCTGAAAAGTAACTAGGCCAGGTCATGCAGGATGGTAAGATGGATGTCCTCTAGTCAGGGGCCTGCTACATCTATGAGTTAGAGGACAGTGTGGTTTCCATAGCTTCTTCCTGCACAGCCAGGGTTACATAGTGAGAACCGGTCTCAAAAACTAAAACCACTCCATGATCCCAGGAGAAGTTAGTTTTGCAGACAAAAGGCCAAGGAGAGAGGATTAGCGGTTTCAAGGTTAACTGTTCTTGTTCAAGATAGAGCAGAGGGGACTTTTATCCTGCCAGATTAACTAGCTCATCTCGGGTTCAGCTCTCCTGACTTCTAATAAGGTCCGAAAAACAACCTTTTCTTTCGATGTCACGAGCCTCTAGCGACGATACACGATTTGGAGGGCCTGATGTCCGCAGGGCAAAGGAGGGGCCCGTCTTTCCCAGGTAGAAACCCCTGTCTTCTGGCCAGACAGGCATTCCTCTCCCAGAAGGCAGCGTGACACCGAGCACAAGGGAAGGTCGCACGCGGAAAGGCTGCGGGGCCAACGCCAACGTGACCGAGTACACGGAGGTCCGCTCGCCACCCAGAGCTTAGGCCTGAAGCGAGAACCCTGCACCGGCCCTGGAGAGATGCAACGGCCAGGGCCAGAGCCTAGCTGACGTCATCATCCGGCGATACCAATCGGAGGCGCCCGGCAACACGTGGGCCTTGCTACATCATTACCACGCGCTGACTCAGAACACAGGGATGCTGTCTATGCTTGGCGGATGCTGTTCTTCCTCAGGGCTGAACCAGAGCCTATATGCTGCCCACCCGGCGCATGGCACTTACGTCATCAAGACGCGTTCAATGAGGAAGTGACGACGTTCCTGGCGCGCGCAGGGCGCTGTTTCTTCTCAGACTCCTCGATCGGCGGCGGCGACGCAGCGGCGCAGGGGTAAGTGCCGGCGGGAGCCCACACGAAGGGCGACGGACGCGCCCGAGGAGTCGGGCGGAGGGAATCGCTGCTGGCGCGCCCGGCTCGGCACACTCTGCTCGTAGGAGAGGAGGCGGCGGGTCCCGCGCTCCCTGCCAGCCCCTGGGCTGCCAAGCTCGGATTTCCCCGAATGAACCGGCCGAAGGCGAACCCCGGGCTTACGGGTTGCACCGCACACCTGATCCCTGCCCGGGACGCAGGCTGGTCCTCGCCCGGCGCTTCCTCATAGTCTTCTGGCACCAAAGGCAGAGTTTGCTGGGTGCTGCGACCTCGGTCTTTAGATGGTGATGCTTGCCATTTACGAAAAGCAAACTGAGCTCAACTAAGTTACCCCAAACCTTACAAGAGTGACGGAAAAAATGAGGTTCCAGCAGAGCCCTTTCCTCCTACCGGGACTTAGTGTAAAACACTAAGAAGTGATTCAAGGAACAACAGAGCCTCAGACTTGGTGTGTCCCGAGGTTGCTTGAATTATTTTTCTTTTTGCAGTGTTTTAACTCAAATGGGTGATGAAAAGGACTCTTGGAAAGTGAAAACTTTAGATGAAATTCTCCAGGAAAAGAAACGAAGAAAAGAGCAAGAGGAGAAAGCAGAGATAAAACGCTTAAAAAATGTAAGCTATGTTTTTTAAGTAAGTGGTTTTCTTAAAGGAGATTTAATTTCTTTGCCCTCATTTTTCCATTAGAACAACGCTTCTTCGGTGAAGTTCTTTTGTACTTCCAAATGTCACAGGTGAGCCCAAAATCTATTCTAAAATTAACAAAAACACTCATATACTCAGTTTATTGAAGGTAGATTGATAACACACTGAAGCTTTGTCTAGATGAGAATGTCACCATGGGAAATAAAATGTTTTGGACCTAGAATCATCAGTGCACCAGACTAATTCTTCTCATCTCAGTGTTAGTAAATTCATAATACCATGTTCAAGCATTTTTAATGTGGTGGGAACTTGGCCTTTAACTTAAAACGAGTGCTTTGTAACTTCCTTGGTTTGCATGGTAAATATATTCAGAGATTTTCAGTGATTGGATAGAGGCATTGACATACATACCTCTTTTGGTAAGATTAGGCAGAGATCATTTTGCAGTGTATATAAGTACTATGTGTATTTTGTTTGTAAAATCCAAGTTAGGTCTAACATAGGTATCACTTTGGCTCATGAGGAACTAGTGTGTTTGGCATAGAGTCTAATGTCTTTTGTCAGATAAGCTGTTTTTAACTTTCCATACTTAGGTTATAGGTAACACAGAATTGGGATGTTAATGACATGGTATATGGACGAAAGTTGTTTTGTTTTGTTTTTTTAATTTTATTTTATGTGTATGAGTGTATTGCCTACATGTATGTGAGTGCACCTGTGTCGTGCAGTGCCTCTGAGATCAGAAGAGGGCTTCGGATTCCCCTGGAACTGGAGTTAAGGACAGTTCATAGCCACCATGTGGGTGCTGGGAATCGAACCCGGGTCCTCTGCAAGAGCAGTCAGTGTTTTTAACTGCTGAGCCATCTCTCTATCCCTAAAACTTTTTTTTATTTTTTTTTTATTTTTAACATCTTCATTCAAAGTATAAATGAAACTTTGGTTATTGTTCAAAATAAGTATAGCTGGGTAGCTGGGTGTAGTAGCACGCACGCTTCTAACTAAGCATTAGGAATGCTGTGGGTGATAATTTAGAGTTCAAGACCAGCCTGAGCTATATATCAAGACTTTTTTAAAGATTAAAAAACAAGCCTGGCATGATGGTGCATGCCTTTAATCCCAGCACTCAAGATGCAGAGGCAGGCGGATCTCTGTGAGTTCAAGGCCAGCCTGGTCTACATAGTGAGTTCCAGGAGACCAAAAAAAAAAAAAAAAATTTAAAAAAAAAAAAAAAAATTTAAAAAAAAAAAAAAAAAAAAAAAAAAAAAAACATTAAAAACAAAACAGAAGCATTATCTGTAAGGAAAATGACCCAGTGATTCATTTTCTCTTTGCTTTTTAGTCTGATGACCGGGATTCCAAAAGGGATTCCCTTGAGGAGGGGGAGCTGAGAGATCACCGCATGGAGATAACAATTAGGAACTCCCCATACAGAAGAGAAGACTCCATGGAAGACAGGTAAGAGAGTGCATAAGATTTAGCAGGCATGCCCCAAGATAGCCACAAATGAGGCCCTGACAGACTCATAACTTACATGAAACATTATGAAGTTTTTTCCTTTTTGGTTTTTCAAACAGTGCAGGTCTTGCACGTGAACTTCACAGATGACAGTATCGCACTATCCAAGGTTGGACTTGTCTGTTAGAGAAAGAAGGAAAAGAGCCTGGGGTACCACATAGCCAAGAGCCAGCCGGCCTTTTCAGTAGTACGCTGAAAAAGTCTGTATTCGGACTGGAGCTTGAGCTCCCAGTTGGGTTTGGCTTTGGTGGGGTCAGTTGTCATAAAGACAAAATGAGCATGCGTTCCTTTCTTTGTGGTAAGTCTTCAGTTAAGCCAGCACAGCGTAAGATACTACATTTCAGTGTTTGTTTACCCTGTGTGGCAACGCCACAAGATTTTATTACTTTATCTTTAAAATGTTTTAATTATTTTTTTATGGGGGCTGGAGAGATGGCTCAGCATTTAAGAGCACTGGCTGTTCAGGAGACATGGGCTTGATTCCCATCACCCACAGGGTGTCCAACAACCATCCTTAACTCCAGATCCAGGGGATCTCATGTCCTCTTCTGTCCTCCACAGGCATTGCATGACATGTGTGTACTTACATACATGCAGACACAACACTTATACACATAAAATAAATAATTTTTTTGTTTTTTTACTTTTTGAGACAGAGTCTACCTGTAGCCACAGCTGACATGGAACTTACTATGTAGACCAGGCTAGTAGCCTTGTGATCTCACAGAGATCCACCTGCCTATGCCCCCTAGTGCTGGGGTTAAAGGTGTGGGCCACCATGCTAGGTTCAAAAATAAAATGTTTAAAAATGTTTATTTTTTACTTTATGGGTGTGAACTTCTTGTTTGCACGTATGTACATGCATCCATGTCATGCATTGCCCATGAAGGCCAAAAGAGTGCGCTGGATCCCCTGCAACTGGAGTTACTGACAGTTGTTAACCACCATGTGGGTCCTGGGAATTTGACAGGTCCTCTGCAAGAATAGCCAGTGCTCTTAACCACTGAGCCACTCTGCGTCTCTGGCCCAAGTCCACAGTTATAGAAGTAATCCAAAGTGGAGTGAAGATGGACCGCTATCAGCAATGTTCATGCCAAGATGTGTGTCTGGTGATTCTTACAGTGCAGTGAGGTCTTGCTGTTTGTTTTCTTTTCGTGTTTTGTGAGATAACTGAGGGAAACACAGTCAGTTAAGGTAGAATGGTTCTGAGAAGCCCAGGGTGTAAATCCTTCCAGACTCTTGGTATTATAGAATCAGTTGAAGGTACTATTAAATGAACCTTTGGCTTCCTTAAAGTTGATAAAATTACAGGACTTTAGTTGCTTTATTGAAGTAGAAAGGAAAAAATGAACTGCACATAAAGTGTGTGATTTGACATAGTTTACCATGGCCCTGACATCATCACAGTCAAGAAAGGGAATGTGTCCTTCCCCTCTAAAGAGGAATTTTGGTTTTACAGCCCACAGTGATTGCTCATGGTTTTCATTTGGATCTTAAAATGGCTTCAACTTAGGATTTTCTTAAATGATAAATCAAGTTGCGCTTTATTCCACTGGCAGTCCTGCTTTTCTCTGGGTACAACCCTGGTTCTCTGCACTTTCCAGCTGGATGTGTCTGTTCTCTATTTCAGAGGAGAGGAGGATGATTCCCTGGCCATCAAACCACCCCAGCAAATGTCTCGCAAAGAAAAAGCCCACCACAGAAAAGATGAGAAGAGAAAAGAGAAGCGCAGGCACCGTAGCCATTCAGCAGAGGGGGGTATGGAAGCCTTTGCTTTCTTCCCTGTGAGGTCACCTGTATTTGTTTCCTCCGTCATGATCTGCCTTCTCCAGAGCATATCTGAAATTGGAGACGAGTGAAAGTTTAGCCAAGAGCCTAAACTCATTGCATGTCTTTTAGAATAACGGTTTCTTTTTCCTTCTGGTGTGTCGTGTGTCCCATTCCCCAACTCCTCACTTGCATTCTTAAGTTATTTGTCTACATGTACAATTGCCGTAGTCCAGTAAGTACAAGGGAGAACACCAAAAAATGTTGGGGTCAAGTCCAACTAATAATGGCTTTGGTTTGATATCAGTTTGGATCTTATGCCAATACCAAGAGGTCGTTGATTTGGTTTGTTTTGTTTTTATTTTTATTTTTTTTATTTTTGGTCTTTTTGAGACAGGGTCTCCCTGTAGCCCCAGCTGTCCTGGAACTCACTATGTAGACCAGGCTGGCCTTGAACTCAGAGATCTGCCTGCTTCTGCCTCCCAGGTGCTGGGATAAAAGGTGTTTGCCACCACACCCGGCCTGTTTTGTTTTTAAAAAGCGGGGTCTTCGCTAGACGTGGTGACATGCCTGTAGTCCCAGCACTTGGGAGGCAGAGGCAGGCAGATCTGTGTGAGTTCAAGGCCAGCGTGGTCTACATAGTGAGTTCCAGGCCAGCTGGGGCTACAGGGAGACCCTGTTTCAAAAAGACAAAAAAAAAAAAAAAAAAAAAGGCAGTGTCTTACTGTGCAGCCTTGTCTAACATTCATGATCCTCCTCTCTCAGCTCCCAAGTTCTGAGAGTACAGTGCTGGGCATGGTGGCACGTGTCTTTAATCGCAGCACTTGGGAGGCAGAGGCAGGGTGTATCTCTGAGTTGGTGGCCTGCCTGGTCTACATAGTGAGTTCCAGGTCAGCTGGGGCTACAGGGAAACCCTGTCTTAAAAAAAAAAAAAAATTAAAAGAAAAAAACCCAACCAAGTTCTGGGAGTACAGGATTGTATTTGCATTCCTAGCTTCCAAGAGGTTCTCAGGAGTACTGGGAAAAGAGACCCTGATACCTCATTTAAATCTCATGAGTCTAAGTGCAATTTTTAATGTGTTTGGGTTTTTTTTTTGTTTGTTTTTTTTTTTTTTGTGTATGAGTATATTGCCTGCATGTATGTGAGCGTACCTGTGTCATGCAATGCTGCGGAGGTCAGAGGAGGGCTTCAGATTCCCCTGGAACTGGAGTTAAGGACAGTTCATAGCCACCATGTGGGTGCTGGAGCCCGAACCCGGGTCCTCTGCAAGAGCAGTCAGTGCTCTTAACCACTGAGCCATCTCTCCAGCCTCGTTTTTGTTTTTGTTTTTTTTCTTAATATATTTTATGTGTATGAGTGTTTTGCCGACGTGTATGTTACTGACATGTATGTAAGTACATGACTTATGTGCAGTGCCCATGGTGGCCAGAAGTGGATTTCAGATCCTCTGGAACTGGAGTTCCAACAGACCATTGTCATCTGCAACATGGGTGCTGAGAACCAAGCCCAGGCCTTCTGGAAGAGCAAGAAGTCAAGAAATGTGTTTTTTGTTTTTGGTTTTTGAGACAGGGTCTCCCTGTAGCCCGAGCTGGAACTGGCTGAGTAGCCTGGCCTTGAACTCACAGAGATCTGCCTGCCTCTGGCTCCCAAGTGCTGCGATTAAAGGTGTGTGCCACCACCCTGGGATCAAGAAATGTTCTTAACATCAGTGCCATCTCTCCATCCCCATTAATATGTCTTTTTGAGACAAAATCTCCCTGTAGCCCCAGCTGTCCTGGAACTCACTAGGTAGATCAGGCTGGCTTTAAATTCACAGAGATTCCCCTGCCTCTGCTTCCCAAGTGCTGAGATTAAAGGCATGCTCCACCACGACCAGCTATTAATGTGGTTTTAAAACAAATTTGGAGGCTAGAGGGTTAGTTCATTGGTTAAGAATACTTGTTGCTCTTGTGGACCTGGTTTCAGTTCCCAGCACCTGTGTCAATTCACAGCTGCCTATAACTCCTATTCCAGAGGCCCAAAAACAATGTGAACTTTGTATGCACTTGTACATATGTGGTACTCATAAACTCATGCAGACATATACAGATACACATATATTTTAGAAAAATATAAGGGGCTGGAGAGATGGCTCAGCAATTCAGAACACTTATTCTTCCAGAGGACCCCGGTTCGAATCCCAGCACCCACATGATGGCTAACAACTGTCCTTAACTCCAGTTCTAGGGGATCCAACAGCCTCTTCTGACCTCCACGGGCATTGCTCGACACGGGTGCACTTACGTACCTGCAGGCAATTCACACATATACATAAAATAAAAAAATACATTTTAAATGTTTTTGGGGCCTGGAGAGATGGCTCAGCAGTTAAGAACACTGGCTGTTCTTGCAGAAGACCTGGGTTTGAATCCCAGCACCCACATGACAGCTAATAACTGTCCATAACTCCAGTTCCAGGGGATCCAACAGCTGCTTCTGTCCTCCACGGGCATTGCAGGACACAGATGCACTTAACTACATACAGGAAATACACATATACACATACACTTAAAAAAGTAAAATAAAAACAAAAAAATGGTAGCCGGGCGTGGTGGCACACACCTTTAATCCCAGCACTCGGGAGGCAAAGGCAGGTGGATTTCTGTGAGTTCAAGGCCAGCCTGGTGTACATAGTTCCAGGACAGCTGGGGCTACAGGGAGACCCTGTGTAAAAAAGACCAGGAAAAAAAATTTTTCATTTCCAACTTTTTACAATTTTTTTTTTTTTCTTTTTTTTTTTTTTTGGTCTTTTTGAGACAAGGTCTCCCTGTAGCCCCAGGTGGCCTGGAACTCACTATGTAGACCAGGTAAATTTTTTTTAAAATTAAAGACACAGTTGTGTTTAGTGATACCCATCTTTTTTTACAGAATTTCACGGAGTTTTACATTTTTGGAGTTTTTAATTCAATATCAAATTAGTTTCCAAGTCATCGTTTCTTTTCTTTTGAGATTGACCCTTATGTTTATTTATGTGTTTATCTGTGTGAATGAATGCTGTGTGTGTACAGGTAACTGGAGAGGCTGGAAGAGGGCATCAGATCTACTAGAGGAAGAGTTACAGGCAGTTGTGAGCCACCTGATGTGGGCGCTGGGGAGTGAACTCGGGCCCTCTGGAAGAGCAGCAGCACACGCCTTTAACCCCTGAGACATCTCTCCAGCCCCATTATTTCTCTTGATGTAATTTTCAAGTTAAGTGCTTTTAACTTGAGCCTGTACATACTGCTGCACCTCTTCAGGGAAGCATGCCAGAGTGAAAGAAAAAGAAAGAGAACATGAACGTCGGAAACGCCATCGAGAAGAACAAGACAAAGCTCGCAGAGAATGGGAACGGCAGAAGAGGAGGGAGATGGCAAGAGAACATTCCAGGAGAGAGAGGTGAGGCCTGCTCCTTAGTGCCCGTTAGTGCACTGGATTGTGGCGACTCAGGCTTGGTGCAGTGTGATGGCTTTGAGGGGACACTGGGGAGGAATGCAGTGTCTGTATTAGCAGTACTCTGCTGTGAGAAAACACCTGGAAAAAGCAGCATATGAAGGATGGATTTGCTTCGGTTCAGAGTGAGGGTACAGCCTGGCATGGCAGCAGGAGCGTGAGGCAGCAGCTGGTCACGATGCGTCCGCAGTCAGGAAGGAAGCGAGGACTAGTGTCTATCTCAGATTGTTTCTCCTTTTTGTTCAGTCTGGGACCCCAGCCCATTTGTGGCGCCTCCCACATTTATGGTGGGTCTTCTAGTGCAAGAAAATCAGGAACCTCTTTCACAGTCGTGCCCAGAGATTGACAAGAGATTGTCAAGTTGACAGTGTTAACCAACACAGGGTCACAGATAGCAGTTCCAATATGAGGTTGAAGGTTGGGCCAGTCGTGAAGCGGTGGAGTTGGGAGGGAAGTACAGTGGGAAACTAGTGTTGGTGAGTGCCTCCAAGCCTGTGGTGTGGTGTGGTGTGAGGCAGATTCCTCCCTCTGAGCCTGTGGTGTGGTGTGAGGCAGGTTCCTACCTCCGAGCCTGTGCTGGTGTGGTATGAGGCGGGTCCTTGGAAGAATGTAGAGTGTGGACCTTTTCAGTAGTGTGTTATTTTTAGTTTTGCTCTTTGAGATAGTCTCCCAGAGCCCCAGCTGGCATAGAACTGGCTGGGTAGACCAGGCTGCTCTCATCTCACAGAGACCTGCCTATCTCTGACTAACACATGCTGGGATTAAACATGTGGGCAACCACACCTGACAGTGATGGGTTATTTTTATGCTATGGTAGAATGGCAAAGGCCAAGCATGGTGACACATGCCTTTAAGCCCAGTACTCAGGCAGGAGAGGCAGGGGACTCTCTGTGAGTTGGAAGCCAGCATAGTCTACAAAGTGAGTTCCAGGGCAGCCGGGGCTACATAGTGAGACCCCATCTCGGGACAATAAAATGTGTTGGCATCCAACAGGACGTCACTCAACCCATGTGTGTGAATCCCTTTATAGCCCAGTGCTTAGGAGAAGCTGGCGGTAGGGTTTGTCTTAGTTCCATTTCCTGTTGCTGAGATAAAATACCCTGACAAAAGCAACTTAAGGTAGAAGTGCTTCACTTGGCTCACAATTCCAAGCGACCTTCCACCATTGCAGGGAAGTCAAAGCTGCAGGAGCTTGACAAAGCAGCTTGCTACGTTACAATGCAGTCTTTTTTAAAGATTATTTTTTTATTTTCTAATTTTATGTATGGGTGTATCTGCATATGAGTTCCGGTGTCCATGGAAGTCAGAGGTGTTGGATCCCCTGAAGCTGGACTTAACAGGCAGTTGTGAGCCACCTGCTGTGGGTGCTAGGAACTGAACTCAGGTCCTCTGCAAAAGCAGTACCTGGCCTTAACTGCTGAGCCATCTGTCTACCCTCACTTTCTCCATTCTTCTCTATAGTTGTGAATCCCCCGCCCCGGGAATGGTGTCATGTACTATGGGTTGGTTTCCCACCTCAGTTAATGTATTCAAGATAATCCCCCAAAGATATGCCCACAGATGACCTAATCTAGACAATCCTCATAGAGACTTTCTTCCCAGGTGGTTTTCCATTTTGTCATACCAACATTCAAAACTAACCCCACATGGTTCATGACTGGTTCATTCATGAGGAGTGTCCCCGTCACCTCTTCTGTGCCAGACTTGGCTCTGACTGGTCTAGTGGAGAACAACTGCAGTAGACAAATTAAGTGCTTAAGGTAGATGATCTGTCCTGGGATGACTGACTGAGCAGATTGCTTAGGGTTTTCTGTATCATGTTGGAAGCATTCTGGATCTTCCCATCTAAGGACAAAATAATAAAAAATGAGCCCTCTCAGGGCTTGCTGCTCTGGGAACTAGGACACCAGATCAACTCAGGGCATTCTTTTCACAGTGTCTGTGTCAGCTCACACTCCCAGGGGCAGAATCTGTTTAGCTCCAGATATGCCCTATGGACTAGGTCTTACTAATGTTACATGGGGAGGAAGGTGGAGGTGCTGGGCATTCCTAGCAGGCAGTGCTAAACCTATAGTGTGAGAGATATGATTGTTAGTTCTCACTGATGCAGAAGGTGTGCCCGGCAGTCAGTCTGAGGCCAATGTGGGTGTGTACAAGTTCACAGTGTGTGCAACGCCCATGCCTACAGCTTCTTGTGCTAGACATGGAGTATATGTGGTGGAGCAGGGTGTCTTATGATAGTAGTAGAGTTTGGTAGATGAGATTTGGCCTTCTGTGTGGTGTTCCCGAAGGTAAAGCAGGAAAGGATGACAGGAGGAGAAAACCTGTGTGGACAGACTTACAGATAAGACTGAGCAAGATCAACCATTTTTCTTTTTTTAATATTTTATTTTGGGGCTGGAGAGATGGCTCAGCGGTTAAGAACACTGGCTGTTCTTACAGAAGACCTGGGTTCGAAGCCCAGCACCCACATGGCAGCTAACAACTGTTCATAACTCCAGTTCAAGGGGATCTTTTCTGTCCTCTGAAGGCATTGCATGACACTGGTGTATTTACCTACATGCAGGTAACACATGCATACACATAAAATAAAAGTAAAAAATAATAAAATTTAAAATATTTTATTTCATACATGCAGGCAATACACTCACACACATAAAATAAAAATAATAAAATATTTTTAAAAAAGGGGCTGGAGAGATGGCTCAGCAGTTAAGAATTCTGACTGCTCTTGCAGAGGACACGGTTTCGATTCCCAACACTCACAGGGCAGCTAAGAACTGTCCTTAAATCCAGTTCCAGGGGAATCCAACACCCTCTTCTGACCTCCGTGGCATTGC